AGTACAAAAACATTTGCTAGGTAGATGCTAATGTGGTAGATATACTGCAACAATTTGGCTCAGGGCACAGCTAGCTCTGGAGCACAAGTCTTTCTGTACTATTGCTGGAATGTTCCCAGATCCATACACTTTGCAGTATCCAATGCCTTGAATCCATTTGCTGACATCATAAGGATTGATTCAAATTGGCTAAAGACTGGCATTTGTGATGGTTAAGACTTCAGGAATAGACCAAAATGGATCATTCATTCAGCAGTTCTGGCTGAAGATGATTGGAAATGCTTCAGATTTGTCTTTTGCATGATATTGTTGGCTCCCCATCACTGAGGATAGGGATACACTTGTATTGCTCATAACTGTATATGTCAGGACTGCAGAGCTTAGATCTGATCCATTGATTGAGGAATCGTTTAGGTCTGTACACTGGTTTGGAAGTTCGTCTTGTACGTAGTGCTGTGTTGTAGCTTGATCAGGTTGGCATCTCATTTTTAGGTACGCCTGGCTCTGTACTAGCATGTATTCCTGCATTTTTCATTGAACCAGCACTGATGCTCTGGCTTGATAGCAGTAGTGCAGTACAATATGTCAGGCCATGAAGTTCAGATTGTAGTAATTCTGCTGCTGTTAATGGTGCCCAATGCAATTTATAGATGCCCAGTTTTGAGCTGCCAGATCAGTTTTAAATCTATCCCATTTTGCACAGGCCACATGGGAGTCCTACTATGTGGGTTTTTCACAATGTCAGGATTAGGCTAAATGAACCTGTCCTCAGTAATCTCACCCATGTCTGGAACAGCGTGAATAGGCATTTCAGCATTCCCTCTCCCCCTACTACTTTCACGAGGTGTTGTGACCTATCGGGAAACACCAGTCCCATGTGAGGAACCTCAGTGTCAGTGGTTAGACCCTGGATTGTGAGTACGATATGTTTTTAACTGAAGTGATGGTTATGCAAACCATTGGTCGATAAAGGTGTTTTTTTTCTCCCTCTTTGTTAATCGATTATAGTTTAGATATTAATCTGTTTTGCCACTTGTTTTATGTATAGGTTTTATGTTATAGTAAACAGATAATTTTGAGTTATTGAAGAAGCCTGGTGAAAGTGTATTTTGTTCTGGATAGCTGTACCAAAGAAAAACAATTGGTCATTTTGGTGACTAAATGAGGTTAAACATTTATACTTGTACTGCAACTCAAGGAATAGTGGGGCTTGATTATCAGCACATTTCAGCCCACCACGGTTGCAACAATAGGTTGGACAGGGCAAGGCTTGTTTCCGCTGGAGTTTGGAAGAGTGAGAGGTGATTTTATTGAAAAGTACATGGTCTGGACAAAGTGGACATAGAAAGGATGTTTTTCTTGTGGGCGGATCCATAACTAGGGAATTCTGTTTTAGGTTTAGCGGTCGCCCTCCTAGGACAGCGATGAGGAAGACTTGTTTCTCTCTCAGAGGGCTGGTTTACTTTGAATATTCTCTGTCATAGAGGGGAGTGGAGGCAGGGTCATAGAATATTTTTAAGGCGGAGGGCGACAGATTCTTAATAGGCAAGGGAATCAAAGGTTAACGGGTTAGATGGCAGTCACAAACAGATTAACCAATCATCTTTCACCCAATGATGGTGCAGGCTTGAGGGCCAAGTGGTCTGCATCTGCTCCTACTTCATATGTTATAAGAACATGGGAATAGGAGGAGACCATTCTTTGAGATCATGGTTGAGCTGTGACTAACTTGATATGCTAACTTTGTCTACGTCCCTTACTAACTTTGGATTATGAAAAATATCAATCTCGACTTTAAAATTAACGTTAATTCTCGGTGTATCTCAATTACAAAGTCTCTTTGTAACTTTTTCAATGTTTCTAACTTCTCACTATTTACAAAGTTGTCTATTCTATCCTTTCTAGGTTGAAAATGGACGATCACACACTTGTTCGTTCTGAGTACTAGGAAGGAATTCTGCGTATAGCCCCACCTTATTTTCCTGACCAATGGGATATGGTGATACTGTGGTAATGTCATCTGGTTCAATGATGTTGTTTAGGAAAGGAAATCTGCCATCCTTACCCAGTCTGGCCTACACATGACTCTAGAACCATAGCAATGTGTTTGGTTCTCAATGATCCTCTGAAACGGTTGAAACAGTCAGTTCAGGGGACATTAGGGATGGACAACAGTCATAGTCACGTCCCATGGAAGAATTAAAAAAACACAAAGATGATACTTGTGCAGCTGCAGAAAAAGGGATGGTTAAAATGCACCATGTTGTAAACCGGCTTCAATTGCCACAAGATCAGAGGATTAATTATTTGAATCCTTTTGGCATAGTAATTATTTAACAAAGCAGCATACATCCAGAGAAAGTTTGTGCTTTAATACATGAAACTTTTGTAAAGTCACAAGCTAATAACAAAATGCAAAAATAATAAATTAAATTTAATCTATTATTTAATGAATAAGCAGCATGTATAGATCCACAATAATTTATGTACACACTGCACTTGATCACCTGGTTACCACGTATACCAGGCTGGATCATCTAGTCACTGTACCAACTGTGCTGGATCACCTGATTACTGTACATGTTGTACTGGATCGTCTAGTTACTATAAAAAGTACAATGGATCATGTGATTACTGTACATCTTAGGCTTGATCACCTAGTTACCTTACAAATTATGCTGGATCACCTGGTTACTGTATAAACTAGGTTTGATCACCCAGTTATCATACATATTGAGCTGGATCCCCCAATTATTATACATCTGCGCTGGATTAACCAGTTACTGTACATATGACTGGATCACATGCTACTACATACATGGTGCTAGATCACCTGGTTACTGTACACACGGCAATGGATCACCTGGTTGCTATACACACTTTACTACTTCACCTGGCTATATTCACACTGCCCTGGATCACTGAATCACTCTGTACATTGTACTGATCATGCAGTTATTGTTCACATGGTGCAGATGTGATCACTGTTGATCACATTGCATCAACTAGCTTCCAAAAGACTACAGCCTCATTGCATCGCCTGCCCAGCCATGTCTATCCTACTTAATTAATTGATTTGGCTGTTAAATATTCTAGGAGTAAATTTCTTAACTTTAATCTTCAGCTGTAATAACATCTTCTGATTGAAACCCCATGGCCAATCAAAAGAGATATGGAAGAAATAACCTTTAAAATCCTGCCGCTTTTGCTCTGACATCACACTTCAGCTCTGACAGTAATGAACAAGTTAAAAGAGCTCTCTGCTGCCAGTTTATATCCTCTGCCACAACTGCTCTTCTCATGCAGGTCCACTCTCCATATGTTCTCCATGTAATTGCATCAATTCACCTTTGAACTGCCCAAATGCTTTCCAATCTTTATGTTTTTCTAAGCTAAAATCAATCCTTGCTTATTCTAACCCATAAAAGCAAACTAATGTCTTTCAATGCTTTCTTTCTCTTGTTGTAGATCAAAGATGTCCACCAACACTCCAGGAGGACCTGCAGTAATCTGCTCTCTGGTTCATACTGGTTTAAAATCATGTTCTGGAAGGACTGACCTAAGTTAATCCCCTTTACAAAAGTAGACCAGCAACCATATGCCACTAGGTTAAAATCCAAACTCTATAAATCACACACTTTCTATCACATTGTACACTGCGTTAGGTCATCTAGTTACTGTACACTCTAGGCTGGGGAACCTGGTTACAATGTACATTGTGCTCTATCACCCAATTACTGTATACACTGGGTGGGTTCAATTGGTAACTGGGTGCACATTGTGCCAGATCATCTAGTGACTATGCACTCTATGCTGGATCCAGATCATCTAGTGACTATGCACTCTATGCTGGATCACCCAGTTACCATGTACACTGTGCTAGGTCACTTTGTTACTGTATACACTATACTAGCTCACCAGGTTATCATCTAGTTACTGCATGTACTGTGCCGAGTCACCCAGTACTATGTATATTGTATTGGATTACCCGGTTACTGTAAATACTGTGCTGGATCACAAGCTACTGTAAACATTGAAATGGATCACACAGTCACTATATACACTGAATCGGATGTCCTAGTTACTGAACACACTGTTAGATTTGGCTACCACTGAAATTTGAGAAAAAGATAATCTTGCTGCATTTGGGCACAGTGTTCAAACAGCAAATCAAAACATTTTTAATGAGATCCCTGTTTTTCCAAGAATTTGGGCAGTGTTTTACCCCACGATTACAGTTTTTACTTGAACTCACAAACTATTAAAATAATTAACATTAACATCACTAACAAAAATGGAGTAGAAGTCATAGGTTGCCTTGTGTAAAGGACAGTGAGAAACTGACAGCGACCAGTGTAGTCTACATAGGTCCTACATAGAACCTGATTCTTTCAGAACAACTTCATTGTACACCAGCACAATGCAGTACATAGTACGTGTACCGGTCACTATCTAAATATTGCAGGCAAAATAGCCAATACTGCAACAGCAAGTTCTCCATATATACAAACACTTCATGAAACTGCACAGAAACATAAGATCCAGATTGCATAGTGCAGAAATCCAGTTCAGCTTTATCACACAAATGCACAGCCACAATGATATATCGATGTCAAAGGGAAAAAAAATGGTAATAGGAATTTTCAGGAAAAGAATGGATCAATTCCAAACTGCAACCACATGTTTACAGGAAAGGGGCTGGAAAAATATAAAATAACCTTGCATTTCATGGAAGGGAACTATCAACACTGATTACACTCTAATATATACTTGGTAATATTGTGATATAGACTGTGTTTACAGCACTTTTGCATTCTTAATTTATATAGAATTCGCAGACATTCCTACAGAGAGAGGCAGATCTTGGCGTTCAGCCCAAAGCAACAGGGAGCTCCTCATACTCAGCCAAAGGCAGACACAGATGGAAGTAATGTACAGTACTTGGTCTGGGAGAGGGAGAGAAAGAAGGAAGATTTTAAAAACTTATTTCTCTTACTTACCACTCTCGCTTTTTTCAATAACATCCACCACTTCTCCTGCCTTTAGGCTGATCTCAGAGTTCTCCTGTTTTTCATAGTTGGCGACCACCATGTACTGATCCAAAACCATGGGCTCTGCCACAGCTTCTGAACCTGAAGTAGGGAAAAAGCAAGCTGTCAGCCAACTTGCAGCCATGGCTCCTTGCGAGCGACAGACTATCCCACATTCGATAGGCCGAATCTTTAGCACCCCTCAACCAATCAGAACTTAAGCTCAGTGTACAGTATATTTCTAAAGATCTGGCCATATAGAATCTTCTTTTCAGTCCCTCTGCTGCACTGCGTAACATTTGAATCTTCAGATTTGCGTTTAATTTAACATTCTTGGAATTTTAATCCCAGACAAGATGATCCATAAAGCCCAACATTTCCACAGTTTTCAATTTCATCTCACACACATAATCAGGGAGTTTGCCAGCAGCCGCTACAGAGACAGAGTTAAAAATAATAAACACCCTGTCCTGTCCCTCTCTGCCAAGGAGAGACCAGAGGCAGTGTGGGGGATGAGAACACCAATGGCAATCGACTGCTCTTAAAGCCTTAAATAGAAACACATGAGTGGGACGGATCAGGGAGGGGAGCTGTTTACATAACAGTCAGATACGGAAAAGTTACATTTGCCAGCTTTGTTATCTTATTATCTGTTTTCTTGTGCAACTCCCTGAAGTCATTTCTAAATAAATGATCTACATTAGTATGCCCTTCACTTTTACTCTGTTCCAACAGGCTCTAATCCACGCACTCCAAATGCTGACAAGCTCCACGAAAATCAGGAATAACAGAGGTGCTCTCGGCTCTGCTGGGCTTTCCCAGCAAAGACAACATCTCTTGTCTCCTAATGGAATATCAATTACTGCCCAAACTCATTCTACTTTGATCATACTTCAGTAACATCTTCACTGACAGCTCCAGTGCATACACCCCACCCTCAGTATAAAGTTACTTTTCCAAACAACGAACAGCAATTAAACCAGGCACGGCCCACAGTTTCCAGCCCAGGAGTCCAGCCAGAGAGCCACAAATCCCAACGTTGGCCATCATTCTAATGCGGCAAAAAAGCAGCGCCTCCCCTCATTTTGATGCACCTTAATCCAATGCAATCTTAATCAGACAACTAGCCCTGGGTCCAACATATGGGACACCAAGACAACTCTATCCTAAAAGCCTAGCCTGAACTCAGTCAGTGACATAAACAGCTTCAGTTCAGTTCAACCATGTATAACAATGACGGACCACAGATAGTCACCGGCAGTCAGCAGCTGGTGAATTCTACAGCCAGCCAGCCTACTCCTAGATACAGTCTGTTTTGCTGAGAGGCACATTTTAGGGTGAGGGTAAAAGAAAGAAAAAGCTCTTATTAGCAAAACCAAATGAGATACACAGAGCTATCATAAACCACACAATTATTCCTACTGTATGGGGCTTGCTGTTGCACGCTTATTGACAGCATAACAAGGCAGAAAGCAGCTGCTTTTCAAGCATTCTAATTAACCCTATACTGCCATAGCGTTTTGGTGTCAAAAATCCATTTCTTATAAAGTAGCAAGAATATCTTTTCTTCAGTTTTTGAAAGACATAAATGGGTGAAAATGAACAATTAAGAAAGAGATTTGACTATCAGCCTACAGCAACTAGTGAAGTGCACTCAGGCCCTGGTTTATCACAATGTAAGCATCAACCAGTTCCAAATATTATTATGTGGAAGATCATAACAACAATTAAGGCAATCATCACTTATCTCTTGTGGTTGGTTATTGTGAATAATTATCTCTGTTTGACTGCTTACTGTAGTCAAAAACATGAAAACACCATTGCCTCACTCCAGTTCATACCATCACCTTTCTTCCACTCTAATTTCTCAGTTTATACCTTTCCCTAGCCTTTTGCAAACTCTCTTCCCAAGTTTACACTGACAGGTTTTGAACTGCTCCCCCTCACTCTCAATTCACACTGGCAAGAGGGGAGGTATTGTAGTGGTAGTATCACTAGGCTAATAATCCAGAACACCAGGCTAATATTCTAGTTACATGAGTTCAATTCCCACCACAGCTCCCCACCAACCCATCAACTATGTAACTTTTGCAGATGTATCCGTACATGGCAGTATGGCAAAACTGGATTACAAACTAGCCTAACGGCAACAATGTAACCACTGTCAACTGTCACCAAACCCAGCTAGTTCACTAATGAATTTAAGGGAAGGAAATCTGCTGTCCTTACCTGGTCTGAACTACATGTGACTCCAGACCTACAGCAATATGGTTGACTGTTACCTGCCCTCTAAAATTACCTAGCAAGCCACTCAGTTGTATCAAACTGTTACAAGCCTACAGACAGGAATGAAACTGGATGTCCACACGGCATCAACCTAGGCAGCTGAAATCACAACAATAAACCCAATCCTGTCACCATGCAAAGTCCTCCTTTCTAAAATCTGGGAACTTGTACAAAAATTGGAACAGCGGTCTCACAGACTTGACAAGCAACAACTGGACGTGTTCATACTCACAGAATCATATCTTAAGGACAACGTTGCAGAAATCGCCATCACAATACTAGAGGTTTCAGGACAGTGATATACAGTCTGGATCAGGTTGCCCTGAGAGTCCTCATCATTGTCTCCACACCCCAACCTCAGATGACGGATCAGTACTCATCCATGTTTGACACCACTTGGAGGAAGCACTAAGGGTGGCATAGACATAGAATGAGTGGGGTACTTCAACGTCCATCCTGAACAGTAGTTCAATATTACCGTTTCTGACTGAACTGGCCAAATCCTAACTGACACAGTTGCAAGCTGGGTTGCAGCAAGTAAAGAAGAAACAATCAAGAAGGAAAGATCTACTTGACTTTGTCTTCACCTATATCACTGTTGCAAATGCATCCATACATAGCAGTATTGGTAGGAGTGACTACCACACAGTTTTTGTCGAGACGAAGTCCCACCCTCAAAGTGAGAATACACTCCATTACGATATGTAGCAATATCAGCATGCTAAATGGGTCAGATTTCAAATAGTTCTAATTACTCAAAATTGGGTATCCATGAGGTCCTATGGGCCATTAGAAGAAACAGAATTGCATTCAACCACAATCTGTAACCTCATTATCCAACATAGCTCCCATTCATTCATTATCATCAATCCAGGAGATCAACTCTGGTTCAAGGAAGATTGCAGAAGGGCTTGCAAGTAGCAGTGTTAAACATACCTAAATATTAGGTGTCAAACTGGTGAAGCTATAACACAAAACTACTTACATCCCAAATATGGGACCAATATGGCTAAGTGATCTCACAACCAACACATCAAATCTAGGCTCTACAGTCTGGAATGATGGTGCACAAATAAACAACTAATGGGAGGTGGAGGCTTAACAAATATTCCATCCTCAATGATAGGGAGTCCAGCATATTGATGCAAAAGACAAGGCAGAAATAGTTGCATCCATCTTTTGGCCAGAAGTGCCAAGTAGCTGATCTATCTCCGCTTCTGCCTGAGATCCCCAAGCATCAAAGATGCCATTCTTCCACCCATGCAATTCATTCCAGGTGTTATCACAAACAGTTCAAGACATTAGATATTGCAAAGTCTATGGGTCCTGACAACATTCCAATAATCATACTGAATCTGGGGACTGAAATGAGAAAGAACTGTTTTAAAAGCCAGTGGTTGAAATGGTAGCTGCAGTTTTGAAAGCAAATAACCTGATATCCATGGCAGCAAAAAACAACTGTTTGAACAAACAGTAACTGAAATTTAGATTACAGATAATCTGGAGCTAAAGGTATGAATTGATGGCAACGAGAGGTTAACTGGTCAACGGATTAGTGGCTAAATAAAAACCAAAAGAACTGCAGGTGCTGTAAAGTGTTCTGAAGAAGGGTCACTGGACCTGAAACATTAACTCTGTTTTTTCCTTCACAGATGCTGCCAGACCTGCTGAGCCTTTCCAGCAACTTTCTTTTTGTTCCTGTTGTAACGGATTGACATTTATCAATGATAGAGACCTTTTTCTTGTCAACAACTGTGAGATTCATTCTTGGGTGGCTGAGCAGCTTGGAGCTGAAAACAAGGTACCAAGACAGAGACAGACAGAGAGAGAGAGAGACAGAGAGACAGACAGAGAGACAGACAGACAGAGAGAGGTGTGCAGATGTTCTCTTCAGTTAAAAAAAACTCAGTTTAAACTTAAATAAAACCAGTTACCTTTCCTGCAGCAGTAACTTATGAGTTGATAAATCAGAGACATTTTCCAAGTGAATCAATTACTCCTACAAGCCAGTGGAAATACTCAGAGAAAGTCACATTATCAACAAAGCGTCTGGCCAGTCAAAGAAGGATCCTCTCAACATCAGAACCATGAAGCAAAGACCATTGAATTGATTTTCCACTTTATCTACCTCCACCAATAATCTATTTTCCCTATTTTTTTGTCTGTATGTGTTTTGTAAGAAGGAGTTTAGAAGGGGCAAGGAGTTTACTCTGTAATGTTTTATCTTTACCTCTGTTTTCTTGTGGCTATATTCTAATTACTTACAATAAATACTTTTCGTTCAATGCAGAAACTTGGTGCATTCTTTTAAAAAAAACTCTTAACATTTGCTTCAACTCCAGGAATAGCTAGCCTCAATTTATGATGCGCTATCCCAGACTCATAACAGATTTTGAGGGCTCTTGGCTGGGATTGAATTGGAAACAGGCAACAAAGTTTTGAATGTG